TAATGATAATAATAAGCCCCAAAGTGTCTGTGGCACATTCCTTGTGGCTTCCTTTTGACCTCAGCCATTTCAGTGTGGGAGAGGAAATTGTTTTATATTTCAGACTGTAAGTTTGGCTGGTTGGCACCCTATAATCTTTGACAAGTCACACGTCTCTTAGCTCCAGCTCCATACCCCTGTTAGCAGAGACATATTTCTGTTTGTTGGGGCATCAAAGAAAGACAGAAACATGGAGACCATTAGACATAACAGAATAGTGACTGATGTGATGAGAGGAAAAGTTTGGATAAAGTACTGAGGAAAAATGGGAGAGACAGAGAAAGACATGCATGACTGAAGGGGCACTGAGGCACTGGAGAGATGATAGTTATTAGGATGGCACTGCTGTTTATCCAGCTTTTCAGCCTGTGGTTTGTGTGTCTGTTTGGGTGTGTTTGGTTGTCCCAGTCAACCAAAGCATGTCAGTGCAGTGGGTGGAAGGTGATGCTTGGCTCATAATTCAAATTCAGGCTGATTTATGTGCAACATCTGCTCACTAAGCCAAGTAAAAGTGAAGTTAAGGTAATAAAAAAGGAACTGTTATGATTATCAGTGATGTATGTGGCATGAGATTTACATGCATTTTTTTTGTGTATATGAATAATAAAAAAACAACTTTATTTTTGACCGCTTCTATGGGTTATTTTTGCTACCCTTTAGTTTACTGCACAGCGAGCACCACCCGGATGTGGTGGGAGCTTCCTAGCACCACAGCTCATTTGGCAATTACCGCTAGTAACACTGTCCTGATTGACAGCATTGCTGAGGAAACATTGTGCCCACCCACCAGTATCCCCTCAGGTCGCCCAGGTGAGTAAGCAGCTCACTTTGTAGCCCCAAAACCCCCTCTAACAGTGTTAATTTTGTTATTGTTATCTCTGTTAGAACTGTTAGTAATATCAACACGGCTAGTGGTGCTAACATATTTGCCCTTTTTATACAGAGATCACAATCAGCGATTGGCCACTACAAAGTCCCTTCTTCATGCCCCCTTTGCAAAAGCGTTACAGACTTTACATGTAACACACCAGTGCTGGCCTCTAGTGTGACATATAGCATATGTGTCGGCAGCACTTTCTAAACTATAACAATGGCATAACATGGCACTAAGAATCATTTACCGTTCCTATTATATGGCGGCTGATCTCGTCCTCTGCTAGGGGGTAAGGAGCTCCATTTTTTGAGTTAGCCGCTAGCAACTACCAGCTATGTTTTAAATCTCCCGCTTTGGGTCGAATGCGTAACATGTCTCGTTTTTACAGACATCATTTTGGTGCTGTTACTACCTCTGATGCTGGCCCCCCACTCCACAGCTGTAGCTTTTATACAGAATGACGAAAAGGCATAGCTGCATGATAATCCCGCCTTGAACAGGCTGTTTAAAAGAGGCTACTTTAATCCCAATGCAAAAGGGATTTTGTAGCTTAAAAATGAAGCAACTTACTCACTGGGGCTACCTGGAGGGAGACTGGAAGGTGGCTTACATGTTTTTGCAGCAACACAGGGACCGCTAGCTAGCTCCCTCTCGACATGAGTGGTACTCAGTGCAGAGCGGCCAAGGCCAGCTAAGCAGTGGAGACCAGAGGGTGGGCAGTGGGCACGATGTTTACGCATGTTAACGCTGCTAGGCGGCTGTCTGTCAGCAGAGCCAATAGACAGTCAAATAAAAGGCAAGACATCACAAAACATTAAAATTTCACCACTTCTAAATGACTAGCACTATGAATTGCAGTGCTGAAGCTTGCTGAGTCGATGAAGCACTTGATTAAAAGTAAAGGCCTCTGGTATTTCATGTAATTTTGCCCTTTTTTCTTAAAAATTAAATGGTTAGTTACCGGTGAATGGGTAAGGTTATCAAAAGCAAAATGAACTGAAATTTACATCCCTAATCTGGTGTGATTCATTAGACTTCCTGTGTTTATATACAGATTGCGATATACGGTTGAATCTTCTCACTAATGCACCCACTGTATTTCCCATCAGTGTAATCAATTGTCTATTCATGCACCCTTGTAAAAACAATCAATAGACTTCTTTACATTAAAGTTAAAAAGGGTGCAAAAGGAAGAATAGATGGGATTATCTCAGGTGTATGAAGAGCAAGATTGTCAGCATTTGACCTACTGAGTATAAACACAACTGACTAATCAGGTCAAGTAAACATGAGAGCGACAAACCTGAGTAGCTTGTCAGAGAACCCCAGTGGAGTCCATTATCATCCATCAACCACTGTGCAACCAGCGCCAGTCAAAATATCTCACATTTAATGTTTTCCATTAGCATATGGCAGATCAACATGTACAGAATTATTTAAAAAAAAACATGTTGTTGAGCAGATTTTCATGTTTTGTCATTGTCACCGTCTCGTGTCTCGCCCATCATCATCGCCCCAGCGCCCTGCTCTGTCTTTGCCAACACATTCCTTAAGATGATTGGGCAACCTGTGTGTTTTCGTTGATTGGTCGGCCAGAGTTGTCAGTTAATGAAAGGACAAAAACAATCTCCTGTTTGTGTGTGTGTGCATGTGTGTGTGTGTGTGTGTATGTGTAAGAGCGAGTGCGTCTGTCTTAATACTTGGCTGTTGTACTCCCCTAGGGGATGGCACGCCTCTCTAACTGACTTTGGCACCGTGCCTCCCTGTGCTTGTTTGCCATCATTAACTGTTTCCGTGCCAGATGGTCGATGTAGGAAAATGTGGCAGACTGTTAAAAATGTCAGTTTAAACATCTAATTAAAAATGCAGCTGTGCTGTAAAGAAGTGAGAAAAATATCTGCCATCATAATGAGGTCATTTTAGTTTTTAATTTTTATTTTATGCATCAGGGAATTCCTTGTGTGAAGGGATATTTTCTTTAAACCAGTGAAACCTCATTGACAGAAAGTGAAAATACCTCATCTATTCAGTTGTTGTTGAAGGCTGATATTAATCTGTATTGATATATTTGTAAGTGTTGTACATAGACACACTTTCATGTTGTGGATCATATTTACTTCAACATGTGTGGCGGTCTTTTAAGAGGATATGAGAGTTTTGTTGTTTTCACATCTGCACACTAGAGCTCTCGGCTGAGACACTCAATGGAGCTGATGTCATGACAATAGTGGCATAAACAGCAGGAAGTCACCTCGGGGTAGGTGTCTCATGAGAGATGATAACCCTACCTACAGAGAAAGAGTAAGATACAGGATAAACAAAAGCGTGATTGACAATTGTTTAAGAATATCCAACTTTGATTAAATCTGATGCTTTAGTGTCTATCCTGTGTGTAAAATGGACTCTATTTACTTCTTTATATGGAAGATGTCACAACAGACTTTTGAAACCTCTACACACCCCTAGGTCAACAGGTGTGTAGGAGAAGACCATGGACTGACTATAAAAGAGCAAAGAATCCCTGCACACTGTCGTCTACTCTCGTAATAATCAGATATTTACTGGGAATGTTTGATGCAAAGCCCCTCTTCAGATTATCTTTCAGAAATAACAATGAAGGTAATGCGAAAGACGTATCAGAGAAAGACATGCAGGATTTCTTTGCTCTGTTTTTTGTGAAGCAAATTTGCTTTTAAAGTGTTGAGGAAGTGGGTGCATGTAATTAGGGCTAGACCAAAACAGTACACTGTACTTCCTGTAAGATTTGTTTTTTGTAGATAAGAGGCAGAGAGGTAGTTTGGGTTTTGAGACCTTCATTAATTCCTGGTCCCTCCAAGTTTTTATTGCCATCAAGAATTAGCTTTTATCATTCTACTTTTACTCTTTCTTTTTAACCATCTCCTCACTAAGACAGATGAGTATTAAAACATGTGGGGGCAGATTTCAAACTCCTTGGTCATGCAACCTCAAGTTTATCTTTGAAATACATCTGCTGATCAAGACTAACTCCTACAAAAACACTTTATGTCTGTCCTCGTGATCAGGATTCTTCCTGTTTGTGTTTGGCTTTGTTTCCCCCTTCTGCAGAGGGGTGTGTCCGCCCTCGGTAATCCTACACCATTAACACATTGAGCTTACTGTAACTGGCTAAACAGCCTCGACCAGTGAGTGCAGCGCCTCTGACTCTTACTCACACCCACATGCCATGTGTTGGCTGTTTGAATCAAGCACATGCATGCCATTCTGTCTTGCTTTACTAATTATGTGAGAGTGAAGGGATGAAACAAGAAGGTGGAAACAAGCGTGTGAGCAAGAAACAAAATAATTTGGTCATTGCCAAGCAGTCCGTAGTGACAGGAGGGAGGTAGTTGGAAAACCCCCAGAGAGAGAAAAAAGTAGAAGGAAGACGGTGAGGAGGAAAGAACCACCCAAACTTCCCAAACTACCCAATCAAGCTGCGTTCTTGGAATTGGATCCCTCCCTTGTTCACCACCTGAGAGCGGAGAAACACAGCTGTGCCTCAGAGACTCAGAGCGGTGAGAGAGAGAGAGACAGACAGAGAGAAAGAAACAAAGAACAGGTGAGAGCAAAAACAGGGCATGTAAGGAGAAGACAGCTGAATTTTCACAGAAAACAAAATTGCCTCTCAGACGAAATGACACAGAGGCAGTTTTTCTCTTTACGTTAAGCAAGAGAGTGAGAAACTCTCGAGGGGAGAACCTGAACTCTCAGGAGAGCTGTGTATCTGAAACAACAAAGCACTGAGCTCACTGTCTCTGGATTGAATGAACTCGACAAAAAAGAAGAAGAAATCCTCGTGAGAAGAAACTGGATACCAAAATGTGGACAAAAAGGAGATGAAGAAACTGAAAACTGGGATTTAAGCACTGCCTGAACAGTCTATTTAAATCTTTTTTTTTTTGTAAAGTGCTGCTTTTCTGGAGCAAGACTACCTATGATTTTGTGTGTTTTCCCGCTGAGTGTACTGTAGAACCATCATGTAGTGTCTCCTAGCGAGCTCCAAGGAGGGCCAGCTTTTGACAACAGACTACCAGGAGTGGATCGAGCTCCTGCAGCTCGTGGAGACATGTCTCTAGAAGATGTAGGAAGCACTACAAGCCTTGGGGCTGAAAGCTGCGCTTCAGACCACTGCAATGGCCTCTCTCTGAGCCAAGGTCAGGACCTGGATCTGGACAACCAGAGCCAAAGCCAGGATGGGATAGTTCTGGAGCGTATTGCCTCGCTGTCATTGGACATGTTTGACCCCAGTGACTTCACGGGGAGGTTCACAAAGATCCAGTCTAGGTCCAGAAAGAGGACAAGGATCCTTGGAGGTAGGTGTTGACAAGCTTGCCATGTTTTTGTTTTTAAGAGTGAACCCAACAAGTGTAGACCAGGAGAGAACATTAGCTAAGGAACAGTTTGGTTTTTACAGGCTGGATATGATACAAGACATCCAGCTGAAACAATGATCCTCAACTCCCTGACAAGAATGTAGGCTGGGTTTTTATCCAACACTGGATTTCAAAAAGTTTTAGCTCTGTTACGATCTGTCCAGACCCCTCTGTCTCCCTGTGTACGTCAAAACAAGGTTCTTCTTTGCTGCGACTTGAGGACTTGACAAGTGTCTTTGTTGTGGCCTTTTGTAGACCTTGTGTAAAGTGATACCTTCTGTGTTTTAAGAAAACAGCACAAGATTACTCCACTAATCCCTGTTCTATAGAATGGGGAAAAAGACATATGGCTCTGGCCTCAGACTGTAGTGCAGTATTTTGTTTTGCCCAAACCACTCACTCTTTCTCAGCTTACCTTAAGTTCTGGGAATTTCAAGTCCAAACACTTCCAACTGTGGGAGAACGCCAAGACCTTAAGTAGACAGTCAAGGTATAATAGAGCTGGGCACGGTTAAATTCAATGGTGATAACTGACTTAACATTAAATTGTATGTGTATGTATGCACAGTGTTACCATGCACGACTGTAGGGTCTGATGTTAGTAAACTTACCATTAAATAACATTAGCAGGCTTGTGTTTTTAAGCATTTTGAGACAGTATTGCTACAGTTTTAGCAGAGTTTCATCCCCCATTTAAATTCCCAAACTTGACACACTTATTGCAGTTGAGAATTGAGGCCTGTTTGTGCCTGAACTTGTAACCTTTTTGCTGCAGGATGATCTGTTTATCAATGAGACTCTGTTCTTGTCTACCCTTAGAAATTACAGTCGTATCAGTGAACAAACAGATGCAGTGTTTCTGTCTGTTTCTGGAAAGCCAAAGCCAAGTCAAAATCAAAAGGAGACCTCACACTTTTAGGACATTTTCACACATATAATTTTAGCTGATACTATTATCCAGAGTGACCCAAAGCGACAGTAATGACAAAATAATCTTTCCCAGGTCGGCAACATCACAATCGATAATAGTTAGGGGGGAGTTTCAAGGAAAGACGTGTCAAGTGTGTCTTTATTTTAAAACCTGTGACACTCAAGGGATCATGTTGGAGAGACGTGAAAGGAAAAGTCAGAATTAAATTTCAAGATAATGGCATATTAAGGGCGAGCAATGCAGAGAGGTTTAGGGAGTCATTTTGTATCCAACTATAGATTTTTCAGTGGGATTTGGCTGAACTTCAAAAGAAGAGAGAAAAGTAGGCGTAAAGTGAGGTGGTGCCTATGTAACAAAATACCACCTGCACAAACATGTCTTTCAGGAAAAATTAACTCTTCAATAAATGGCAAATAGATTATAAAGGTTGGATTGTTGACCCAAGAAATGCAGTGTAATTGAATATTATGGGACTTCTCTGCTGTGATAATGTGCATGACTGAGGCTTTGATGTTGGGGAGACAGGTATGCCTGGCATGAAAACTACTGACACACACACACACATTCTTCACAGGAGTTATCTATTTGATCAACCTAACTGTGTCAAGGAGACACTGCTGTGTGAACTGTGACCCTCAAACAGTCCCTCTGTGGTTGTGTGCTGCTATTGTGTGTGTGTGTGTGTGTTTGTGTGTGTACTCTCTGCTTATAATGGACCAGTTAACACCAGCACATGTCAGATGAACATAATGAGAAAGGCAGTTAAGATGATAGTGTTGCCTTTTTTAACAGATGCGCTGTGATTTATAATTTGCAATTATAATTGATAGATTGATCGACAATTTATATTGTTTTTTGTAATGAAATAAGGCGACATCATATACATGTAGATAATTCCTCATTTTAACTTGGTGAATCTGCCGTTCCTCGTCCATCCCAGCTCTTTCAAAGTTAGCCACAGGAATGAACAGAAACAGGGTATCCGACAAAAGATCAGCTTAAAATGGCACACTGAGTTGCTCTTTCATCAAATCCAAAATGTTGCCATGTTGATGCAGTTTTATTTTTCTCAAGAGACTAACTCTGCCATGTCTCCTCTCGTCATCCCAAAAACACATGAACGTTGTAGTAAACAAACACAACGTGCGCCGCTCATCCCCCCTCCCACCATTGCTCACTGCCTGTCAGACACTAGAGGCTCTGTTAGTATATTTATAAACAAAATATCGTGTTAATCACTTTGTCATACTGCTTATTACTAATGTAATACAAGTTGAATTTAGTGCAGTGACGCTGTCAGCACAGGTTGCTGATGTAGGCCACTTTTTAATACGCAAGGAAGTGGTGTAATGACAAATGCCGGTTCAGCCAGTTTGCGTAAAATTAAACCAGTTTAATGTCATATACCGGACCGGACTGGCAAAACCAGAAATTGAACCAGCTCTACCATCTTCTGACTTTTTAAAGACCAAATGATTCATTGAATAATCAGGGAAATGAATTCATTTCAAGTTGTTCTCCTGGGAAGACACACTCCTGTCTTCTACTGTTCACTAAGTTCCGACTGCAACACATCTGTTATCTCTTCTCTCTTATTTACAAAGATAGGCAGTGTACAAAACATTCAGGTATCAGCCTCTCATTGTCCGCAGCACTGACCGCCACTTTCACCAGTTTGTCATCATCGCTGCTCATATCAGCTGTCACTAAGTGACATTAATTCTACGAGTTAGTTGACATCAGGCCAAAGTAAAACTTGGCTGTTATTGGGTTTGTGTGCTCTCCGCAATCTGATGTCTGCACTACAACTGTGTGTTTCTGTCTTTCCAACAACTCCAACAGAGTGATGCGTCTTCTGTTTAACTGATCCCATTTTGCCAATATCAGGAGTCGCATTCTCCCAGCTCTAAACTGTTACTCATGTCATTATCAAAAATGTAAGCTTATCAGCTTTATAGTGTTGAATCAGGACCTTGAGTATCTGGATGAAGCGGCTCATGAAGTATGAACTGGTCTGATTTTAGAAGGCTACATCTGTTATTTCAGTGTTACATATTCAATCAACATTTAGTTGAATATTAGTATTGGATCAGACTTGGTATCGGTGGATAAGCTGTATTATAAGACTCATAATATTGGGGTCAGGACCAAAAATACTTGGTCAGGACATCCTTGCAAGAAATGTGTATATGTGTGCATGTATGCTTGCGTGTGTGTGTGTGTGTGTGTGGAGGAGTCACATTCCAACAGCTGGCATGCCCAGGCCCCTGCTCAGAATTTGAGGAATCCTAGGACCTCCATAAGGGTGTGTGTGTGTGTGTGTGTGTGTGTGTGTGTGTGTGTGTGTGTGTGTGTTTATTTCCATGATTTTTATTTGTATGCTGAATAATTGTGTGTCACTCTGTGGCAAACATGACCCTATTCTCATTGTAGGTGATGAATTTGAATAGATTTTCATATTTTGAACATGAGCAGTACTCAAACAAACACTTGGCACTTCCACGCTTCCCTGTTCTATTCCTCTTGACTTTGCTTTTTTAGCTTGCAAGAAATACTGGTCCTACTCTGCCTCACCCACAGCTTTCCCTCTCACACAAAACTACCTTTGTCATGTTTAGTTTGTCCATACATAACAGCTAAAGCCTCCCACAGCTGGCAGATGTAACTTTTTAACCTAATGAGAAATGTGAGAAATAGGGTCAACAAACAGTAATCCTTGACATTTTAATACTTTCTCTTGAGTAAGACGAGATGAGGTCGCAGTGGGTTGAGATAACAAAGAACAGACCTCGCTCAAATATTATTTAGTAACCATCTTTGGGTTCAGCTGCTTGGTGCACGAGCAAGTGGAGGGTTGACACAGAAAACTTACAGTTGGAGGAGAACTTTGGAAATCAGATTACTTTTCTTTGATTGTCAACTTGGCTGAATTTTCTGGATTCAGTAAGCAGGTTAACACCAAGGCAGGCATTGTTATTTGCTGATACTATTTGGCCCAGGACTGTAATGGAGTAAGCAGAAGTTGCAGACAGGAATAGGCCTGCAGTGGTTCTCTGCTATATTTCTCCTCCTTTGAGATTAGACTGTAATTGTCTGTTAATGTGAACCAGGCCATCCTGTGCTTGGTAGCTCTCCTGTGAGCTGCAGCCTTGCATGATATTGTATCTTATGCACTTTTTGCTCCTCCCCTCCCCTCACTCTCATTTTCTGCCCCCTGCCTCTGTTCTCCCTCTCTCACCCGTTCACATGTCCTGTGGCACTTCCGCAGTTCACCCAGGGAATTACATGATGACCCTAATTATCCACTTGTACTTCCACTCTTAGTCACCCAACCATAGCATCGTTGCCATGATGGCCATCATACCTTTCTACTCAGACAGAGCACTGTGAGGACAGCCAAAGGGAATATAGACTGTTTACTTTAAAGTGAGAATTTACTTTCTTTCACTGTTATCTAATTGCCAGAAACTATACCTAAGCTCTTTAAATGATTTGTCAAGAATGTAACCACAGCAGTAGAGTGGAAGGTTAATATCAGCCGCAAGCAAAGTGCTTGTAAATGTTGATGTTGGCCCACATAGTTACTTAGGGAGGAGGGATTTAACTAATTAAAAGTGGGTGAGGTGGTCAACCAGTGGAAATGTTTCATCAAATAAACCCAGTAACTACACTTTTTACCCGCTGAAATCTCTCAAGCTAGGATAAGCTAATGCTGTTTAACAGTAGCTGACTGCAAGGGCTGAGCCATATGTAAACCTCTGCCCAAACCTAGGGGGGGCTGGGGGCATGCTCCTCCAGGGAGATGTTTTTTCCCATTGACGTAATTTGAGATAACTGAATGCCTAAAAATTGGTACATCATTTGAGAAAAACACGATAGTTGCCAATGGAAAAAAACACCCTATAGAGCCTACATCCTATTTTGTATCTAATTGTTCTTTAACTGTCTTCATCAGTCTGAAGCCAAAACAAAACAGATGTCGAGGATGACTAATTTTCACTCCTGCCAC